TGTCAGGTAGTTAAGCATTTGCAGGAACCCCAAGTTTGAGGTTTAGATTTACTAGTAGACCAAATGAGCCACTCTTTTAAATGCTATGTTGAAATTACTTGAAAATAATGGAATACATTGAATCTTTTTAAATGAACTTCCCTTGTAGGTTTTTATTCCCTTTTTGAAAACTGCGTTGGACTTCCTCTTTAAAATTAAAGCAGAATCATAATTACATACTTTACCTTACGAGAATTTGTCAGTTTGTAGCATCTGTCAGTTTGTAGCATTTGTCAATTTGTATTTTTATTCATTGTTCCTCAACTTTTCATCTCTTTTATGCTATTCCTCCACCACAGACTACTAGAGAATTACCAATCCTGATTCCTGTTTCAAAATATGGATCACATAAGCTTTACGTATATGATACTTTCTTTTTCCACTTTGACCAATCTATTGTGGATTCTTATCATCTCTAATCTAACCCATTATATTAATCTCCCATTTGTCAAAAACCTCTGTCTTTTACTCACCTGATTTTAAAACATATGACTTGGTTTCCTTAAAATTCTTCGTTGCCTTCCTATTGTCGTATGGGTGGTTGTTTCTAACATACGATCTGTGGAGCCCTTTAGTCCCAGGACCCCCTTTCTTAGTTTATATTCTTTTTAAAAGACTGAAAGATAGTTTTACAAATTCCTTCCCTGAATAAATGTCAATAACACCTACCAAACAACAAACCAAAGAATAGTTGCACCAGAGCTCAGTCTAGGGAAGTATTGAGTTTTAGGGGTTACTAATAGAACATGGATAAGGGACTACCTGCAGAAGCATTAAGACCCCAAAGCAGCTGCATTGGTAGTTACATAAAAGGAATTTTCTGTTAATTCTTTCTCTTTTCTATACTCTTAATAGTTCCCAAGACCAGAAGGCTAGATGCAATTAGAAGACTATATGCAATTAGGACAGAATTTCATACAGATAGCCAGGAGACATAGGGGAGCTGCCAGAATCTCAGGTGATGTTTCAGTGACCGTCTCTGGCCCCTCCTCCTGTGAGGTAACATCGTTAGTCAACAAGCCCTATCTAAAGGGTCTCTCGAAAGTGATCACAACGATTCTGATTAAGAGCCTGGCTGTTATGCTCAGAGGATAGCATTCTACAACAGATTATGTCATTCCATATATGCTGTACGCCAGACATTTTCTGAAAAAAGAAAGGCATAATCCTGTTATTTCAGGGGGGAGGGACCCCAACAGGATTTACTGATAGAGAAAAATTCAACTATAGTTTTAGATAATTTCCATCTGCTGCTACCTTGAGTTTGATAGCTTCCTTGAATTCAAAGACTTTTCTGACCAAAGCAAGACAATTGTAAAGACTGATGAATATACGTGATTTTTAAAAAAAGATTTATTTATTATTTATACAGTGTTCTACCTGCATGTATGCCTGCACACCAGAAGAGGGCACCAGATCTCACTATAGATGGTTGTGAGCCACCATGTGGTTGCTGGGAATTGAAACCAGGTCCTCTGGAAGAACAGTCAGTGATCTTAACCTCTGAGCCATCTCTCCAGCCTCCAATATACGTGATTTTTAAAGTATATAAATGTCATCATTTAGAAGATTGAAAATCCCAGCTAACCAGTGTTTTCTGTGTGATCAACACATGTTTATAAGCTCATGCATGCTTCTTTCTTAATTGCTGAGCCAACTCTCCAGACCCTAGAACAGTGATTTTTTTTTTTTTAATGTTTCTGTATGAAAAGTTCATTGGTGTGATTTCGGATTCTATGTTGTACTTATTCCTTATTCCTTCTTTCTTCTGAAAATTCTTATCAGCTTTTGGTATTATGTTGAAAAATTATGTTCATTATTTGAAAATACTATTAAAATACTACTGCTATTTCAACCTTCATATATAAGTACGTCATATACCAACCCAAATAACTAAAGCAACAAATTGGCTATAGAAACAAATTGGGCTGTCTTTATTCAGCCAGTCTTTGAGAACTTTTGAAAAAAATGTAAAAACAGTGGCATTCTTTTAGATTTTTATTAAAAATAATTGTTTCAATTAAAATGTATTTTAATATCAACATGTGGGAGATTTTTAATTTATAATATAATACATGTTGACATAACCCATATAAATATATTCTCAGTAGTTTTCAGCCTCACGGGATCTTGATATAAAAAAATGGAAAAATTTTAAGGCTATAAGGTTAAATACACTTTTAAAGTGCTTTTCATAGACATTTGCTTTGGATTCTTTCTGGTGTTTCTAAAATCATTTAATTTTTGTAATGAGGCCAGCATGTAATGTCCTTAGTATTCTCATAGGAATGAGATAGAGCAAATCTAAAATTGTTTCTAATTTTGCTATTAAGGGTCTTCTTTGTAAGTTTTTTATGCTTTTCTTTAGTGAATTTTAGGTTACTAAAAATAACCGGAAGTCAGAATGAGAAGTAAGTCACTAGAGTCAAAAATGAAGAATGGTAGAACTAAGGTGAAGTGGGCGGAAACCTGAGCAGGTTCTCATAGTTCTCCGTATGCAGGTCTTGCTGCCACTCTTTCAGGTAGCCAAAGGAATGGGGACATGAGAGAATGACTAAAAATCTAAGACTTTTAAAAAAAACATTGGGAATTTTTGTTGTTTTTGTTAAAACATTTCTTTCATCTTACTCCAAAAATACTAAACAGAACAAAATAATCACTTATTTTTCTGTCGTCCATATAATTCATAAAACTATCAAAACTGGTAGAAATAGCTAAAAAGTAAATAGCTAAAAAGCCTCTGGGATGGCTCATCAATCTCTTATTTTAGAAAAAATTTTAAAAATACATCCTGTTTCATACTACATTTAGCGATGAATTTAGAGGATTCTAGGGACCAATATGCTTTACTGTTGTCATTTCACAATACTGTTGTCCAGGCTTCACAAGGGGAAAATGTTGGAAGATTCAAGAAAATTACTCAGGATGACACAATTTAAATTTTCTTAATGCCGATAAAGATTTATATTTTGGCAGGAAACATGGACTTTGTAAAAAAAAAAAAAAAAAAAAAGTGTCTCAAATTCTAATTTTTAAAGGGTTAGGGTGTTTCAATACCGTCTAGTTTTAATATCACTCATAAAGTAGAATGGCCAGTTTGGGTTATACATGGTTAACTCATGCAATAAAGTTAACTTGAATAAAACTTGTGTAGGTCACTGTGTTTCTGCTTAACCTAGACCTATCTCTATTTAAGTTGTTGCAATATTTGACTCTGGAATTAAGCCTACACTGTGATAAAATATAACTCATTTGTGTAAATCATATGACTGTAAGCAGTTCTGACATAACTTTTAGCTATAGATATGATATATAATGTATATTCTTATATATACATATATATCACATACAGTGTATATTCTTAAATATATACATATATATGTATTTTTTTTACATTATATACATGTCCAAAGCATAAGAATTTATTTATTAGTCTGATGGTGGTGGCACACACCTTTAATTTCAGCATTCAGGAGGCAGAGACAGGTGGATCTCTGTGAGTTGGAAGGCAGCCAGGGTTGAATAGAGGGGACGGTGGGGGAGAAGAAAAAAAAGAATTTTAAGGTTTTCATAATAATTTTGAAAAACTTTAGGATAATTTAAGGTGCAGTTCTAACATTAAATAAAGGTGCTTAGGCTACAAAGGGAAAGCTACAGGTATGAAGTGAAGATTCTGTAAATACTATATGTAGCTATATATTAACAGAACAGAGAGAAACAGAAAAAGAAACGTGAGGCTGAGGCAATAAATTCCTATGAATCAGTACTGTGTTTAGCCATACTCTTTGGTGTTATTACTTCTTAGACTTTGAATTATATTTGGAGGGAACTGGTGAGTTTCCTAAAATAAGACATATTTAAATAGGTTTATAGAGGCTAGGAATTTAAGCCAGGAAAAAAAAAAAAAGATGAAGGTAATATTGAACACATAGGAGATTTGAGAGGAGAGTGTAAACTTAAGTGCTTTGATCACTGAGGTGTAGCTTTCTACACATTTGCCTGTAATTTTTCATATTTGGATAATTACAACCCGAGATAGAGAAAACATGTGCATTTATTGAAGTTAAAGCCAGTTATATCTGCTACTTAGGATTTACAACTGCCTGGCCCTTGGGGTTATTTGTTTTCTGCTCTCATTTGTATTGTTCCTGTAGCATGTCTTCATTTTAACAAATACGGTATTTGAAGTAATTGCTTTTATATATTTATAAAAGGAATTAGTCCTTTGAGGCTAAACAACTTTTATTATATGTAAGGAACTATCATAAAAGTTTTATTTAATTATCTGATGTGTACTTATTATTAAGGTATGTTCCTCATTTCACAATACAAATGAGTCAACAGTTCATATTAAACCATTTTAAAAGAGCAAAGGGTAATAGTGATCTGTTGGGACTTGGGAATGGTTAGCACATTTTGCTTTAGCGTTAGTGCCCTCATCTCCAAGGTATATGGCAGTAATGCATCTTCAGATCTTTCCTTGAAACTTTTTATGTTTTAAGATCTTACTGGCCTCTAGTGGTAAAGTGATGCTACAGTTTTAGTCCATTTTGTAGATGTAGTCAGTAAGCTCTTACCTTTGCTCACTCAATTCTTGATTAACTGTATTCTCAAATCCTCTTTGTCCGAAGATGAGAAATCTTTGTCCTTTCTTCTCTGTTATCCTCACTCCTTCATTTTGAGTAATACTGGTTTAGTTCTGAAACAGCCTCCCTTGTTTTAGTGTAAATACTTTGTTGATTACTATATCAAGTTTGTGGTAAGTTTTCTTCTTAGAATGTTTGAGTTTCTCTACACATTGTACCTTACTCCATTGTAATAGTTTTTAAGAGTAGTTTTAGTTGATCATTGAGAGTCATCTTTTGAATCACTTGTATTAGCGAATCTTATTTTTCAAATACTGGTATACTAGGTGTGAGCATGGTTTGTTCATTTGTTTTTCTTTTTGCTCTACAGACGTAAAAGGACCACCCACCCATCGTCTATCTTGTGGCCAGTCACCATACACTGAGACAACATCATGGGAGAGGAAGTACTGCATCCTTACAGACAGTCAGTTAGTGCTGCTCAATAAGGAGAAGGAGGTAAGAAGCAAAGCTCACTCACTCTTAAGTGCATTTCTAAAATTACATACTTTTATTTGTATTTTGATAAGGTTGTATTATACAAATAGAGACTCGAGCAACTATAAATTGCTTTCTCAATGGGTGCTGTTGTTATAATGATATGTGTATATATATATATATATATATATATATATATATATATATATATAGTGATACGTTGCTGCAGTAAAATAGCAAGTTCCACAGACAGGGCTGGATTTTGGGTAGGAAAACAATAAAAATTATATGGATAAATTAGGAATGGGAAGGCATTAGGTTGTGGTAACCTGACCCTGCAGATGGTCTAGAGAGGCTAAATTATATTAGTTTACTCCTATGCTGACTAGTTTTATGTCAACTTGACACAAGATAGAGTCATTTTGGCAGAAAGATCCTCAATAGAGAAAATGCCTTCACTGACTGGCTGGTGAACAAGCCTGTGGTGCATTTTCTTGATGGATGTTGGAGGGCTTAGCTCCTGTGGGTGGTGCATCCCTGGACTAGTGGTCCTGAATAGTATAAGAAAGCAGGCTGAACAAGTCATGAGGAGCAAGACAATAAGCAGCAGCAGTCTTCTGTCCTCTGCATCAGCTTCCAGGTTTCTGCCATGTTTGAGTTCCTACCCTGACTTCCCTCAATGATGGACGATGATTTAAAACTGTAAGCTGAAATAAACCTTTTCCTCCCTGTTCACTTGTGGTGACTGTGTTTGTCATAGTAGTAGAAACCCTAAGTAAGACAAAACCCAATGAACGGAAAGGTTTTGATAAGTTGACAATTTTAAGAAGTGTGGGAAGAATAAGGTCCTCATTAAAGTATAGTGAAGTACAGCAAGAAGCAGCTATAACTGTAGTCCTTTGGACAGTGGATAAAACCATCATTTCTATAGGTCAGTGAATCATAATTTCATGAAAGGCAAAAGAACACAGCTGTTCCAAATACTTGTGGGCATCCAGAAAAAAAATAAGAAACATTAAATACCCTACTTTTTTTTTTTTAATTGAGATCAATGTCTCTATTAGCCAAATCTTATTTGAAGGTAGAAGATTGTTTTGATGTGTGCTGTAATGGCCAGCTTCTTGAAACCCACAATGGAGCAATAATCTGAGAGTGTATAACTCTGAGACACATAGAATGTAACTCACAGCTCCACCTTAGAGTACTTTTACTGACAGCATACATGTACTCTCCTTGCCTGATTCAGCCAGGGCTTACAGCTTTCCTCATTTTATGTCCCATGTTCCTAGTACCTAATATCCTACATCCCTTTTACTTCTAAGAATTTATCTGCAAAGATTTACACTAGCTTGTAAAGGACCTTCTTGGACTGAATCTAGCCTCACCACCCATTCCTGACCTCAGGCTTTCTACAACATTGGTGAAAGCCTTTAGTACAAGCACTGAGTGCACAATTTTATGTCTTGCTGCCCGCTTTCCTTTTCTTTCTCTCTCTCTCTCTACTTTTTTTTTTTTTTTTTTTTTTTGCCAGCTTGAGATACATCCTAACTCTGTTTTACCATAGTTGTAGTAGTCTGTAAGCATATGGGTGTCTAAATTAGGGAAGACCCCCTTCCTAAGTCTCCTTACTCCAACAAGGGCTGCTGGAGGCTCCACTTTAACTCTTCTCAATGGTCTAACAAACCCGGGCTTTCTCTGCAGCTGCTCTGTCCATTCTGTCCAGACCTTCAACTGTGTCCATATTTCTTTGCTTGTAAAATTGAACATTTCTCAAACCTTTTTGTTCCATTTATGTATGTATGTATGCATTCTCACTGTAAGCCTGTATAAAAGTCAATAACCAATAACCATGCTCTAGCCTTAATGACCAAAATACACTAGCCTATGATTTTAGTATTCAGCCTCACTCAAGTTTTCAGGACACAAGCAGAATGGAGCAGGTTCTTTGCCAGAATATGACACGAGTGGTCTCTTCTCCAGTCCCTGCTAGAATCCATGTTCCTGAAACCATGCGAGCAATGTATTTCTCACATTTCTATTGGCATTTGATCTTCCATACTTCCATCAGAACCCCATTAATCTCTACTTAGTGTTCTTGTTCATCTCTAGCCCACAACTCTAAACTCTTCCACATTCCTTCCTCTTACAAATCAGTTCCAGAAACCTGTGAGCCATATGGCCAAGTTTATCACAACAACAACCCACTTCCTGGTACCACTTTTCTATATTAGTTACTCTTCTCATCTGCCTAACAAAAATACCTGACAGGAACAGCTTAAAGAAGGAAGTATATTTATTTTCACAGTCAGTTTTATGACAGTAGGAGTAGCTCCTGTCCATGTTAATAAAGATATAAGGAGCGTTACTCAGAAAGGAAGCTCAGGTCAGAACCAGGGCAAACTTCAGGGTCTTGAGCCAGACTAGGGGTTGCAGTGTAATGAAGAAATCTCTTTCCCTCTCTCCCTCTCTCTTCCTCTTCTTTTTTTCCCTCTCCCTCTGTCCCACCCCTCACCCTACCTCCTGTATCTACACCTACTCCTATACCCACACTTACATCTACCTACGGGTGGATATAGATCTTTCCAAAAAAGTAAAACTGCAGTTGGGATGGGGATGAAGGTTAATGGGGGGGGGGGGCAACGGGATGATTGGGGGGATATGGACCCGACCCTGAATGTAGGCTGCCTTCCTGTGGGCTGAGCTCAGGACAGAGTGGGCAGAGCATCAGCATTCGTCTTTCTCTCCTTCCTGACCATGGCAGAAACCTAGCAGCCACCTCATGCTCCCACCATCATTTTTTCTCTGCTGTGTTGTTCCTTTACAAGCCAAGTAAACACTCCTCCTTTAAGTTTCATCTTGTCAGGTATTTGGTCAAGGAACGTGAAAAGTAACTTTACGTTTTCCTCCTTACCTGATCTTTCCCATCATGATTTCTACTAAAATTTCAAACAGTAAAAACAATTAAAACAACTCAAATTTTATTAGCCTTTCATTTGTACCCCCTTTCTTCCAATCTTTTTAGGAAAAAAGGGGAACTTTTTAAAATCTAATTTTCTTTATTTATTTTTAATGTAAATTTTTTATTAATTACCGTTTAATTCACTTTGTAGCCCAGCTGTAGCCTTCTCCCCCATCCCTTCCCAGTCCCGTTCTTCCTCCCTTTTTTTCTCCTATGCCCCTCACCCAGTCCAATGATAGGGGAGGTTCTCCTCCCCTTCAATCTGACCATAGTCTATCAGGTCTCATCAGGACTGGCTTCTTTGTCTTCCTCTGTGGACTGGTAAAGCTGCTCCCCCTTCAGGTGGATCCAAGAGCCAGACCATAAGTTCATGTTAGAGATGGTCCCTGGTTGTATTATTGGGGAACCCTCTTGGATTCTGAGCTGCTTTGGGCTACTTCTGTGCAGGGGTTCTAAGTTATCTCCATACATAGTCCTTGTTTGGAATATCAGTCTCAGAAAAGACCCCTATGACCAGATTTTTTGGTTCCGTTGCTCCCCTTGTGGAGCTCCTGTTCCCTCCAGGTCTTTCTATTTCCCCCTTCTTTTATAAGATTCCCTGCACTCTGCCCAAAGTTTGGCTATGCATCTCAGCATATGTTTTGATACCCTGCTGGGTAGAGTCTTTCAGAGGCCATCTGTGATAGGCTAAAAGGGAACTTTTAAGCTCATTCTCTCTCTCTCTCTCTCTCTCTTTCTTTTTCTCCTTTTTTTTGTCTTCATTTTCCTCTATTTTTCATTTTTTTCCTTTTCCCAACTTATTTCCTTCTTTTAAGACAATGCTTTGCCTTGTAATCTAGATTGGCTGAATTTGCCACAATTTTAAGCTGCCTCCAACTCAGTGTTGTTATCAGCCTTGCAAGTGCTGAGAATACAGATGTGTGCTGCCAGCCCTGAGCCTTTCCTCTCTTTTAATGACGTTTTTCTCCTAAAGTCATTTTCTTTACTTGGCTTAATTTAAAAAAAAATTTTTCTTTCTTCTTACCCCATGTCGTTTCTTTTGAGTCTTCTTTATAAATTTATTTTCTCCATGTGTGAGCACCACACAGTTCAGTCTTGAACCTCTCGAGGCCCTTTGTGGGGCGAGTGACCCTTTCACAGCAATCACCTTAGACACAAACATTTACATTATACTTCATAACAGTAGGAAAATGACAGTTATGGAGTAATAAGAAAATAATTTTATGGTCGGGTCACCACAACATGAAAGTGTGCTCTTGCCTCAAGACCTTAGACTTTGTTCTTTTGTTCTACTTCAAGGATTAACATTCTTCAACCTATAACTTACATTCATTTGCTTGGTAAGGCCAGCTATCAACAATATATTTTCAGTCATAATCTCTCCCCTTTTTCCATCTAGATTTTTAATTTTAATTTTTAAATTTAAATATTCTGTTGTGCATACTTATAGTCAACTAACAGTTTATAGTACAATGTACACTGATCAGGTTAGAGAAATTAGCCAGTCTGTCATCTCAAATATATATATATATATATTCATTTAAAACTCTTTCTAATAGTTTTTTGAAATAGACAACTTATTGTTGTCAGTCATAGTTATCCTACTATGCTATAGAAAATTAAAGTCATCCTTACTACAGCCACACCTTGTATAACTAGCTTTTTTTTCTTCTTCCATTCTCTCTCCCCAACCTTCATCCTTCTTAGCTTCAAATAACCACCATTCTGTTCTCTACTTAAGTGGAATCAACTTCCATATATAAGTGAGAATATTCAGTGCTTGTCTTTTTGCATTTAATGTCCCAGTTCATTTGTATTCTTTAAAAAAAAAATGACAAATTCTTTCTTGTTCATGGTTGAATAATACATTGTTGTGCATATGTACCACATTTGAAAAAAAAAAATCCATTTAGCTTTTGATAAATACCTGGTTTTGGTACTGGAAATTTTGGGCAGTTCCATCTAGGCTACAAGAGAAATCTGGGTCCCTTTGCATGCTTTGTAGTCTTTTTGATAGAATAATTTAAGAACACACTCGGAATGAAGATTGAAGACAATTTTATTATAGCTTAAAAGAAAAATCCTAGAACAGACAAGCTATAAATCTCGGCAGCCACTTGGAGGAGGGAGAAAAAGCCATTCTATTTGAATTAAGCCAACAGGGAGGTCAGCTACATAGCAGACAAGTAGCTACATGGTGGGGAGGAGAGCTTTAGAGAAAGAGTAAGGAAGTCCAGAGTACCAGAAAAAGCAAACTTAGGTGCTGGTCAGCATCTGAAAGAGACAGAAAAGGAATAGGAATAGAATAGGAATAGGAAAAAGAAAAGGAGGAAAAAAAGGAAAACTTAGGCTTTTCAGAAAGGTGGGGAGACCCAGCAGGACCTCATAGTGGATTGTAGGGACTGGGTCAGGGAGTAAGAATTCTGAGAAGGAAAAGTACATTATCTCAATAAAGGAATAAATATTCCTTTTATTAACATGCCTTAATAAAAGGCCTTTGGGATCGATGGTCCCTTGTACAGGTGATTGGCTGGCCAAACTGGATTAACTCTTTAATCTAGAGGTAGATTACATTTTTTTGACCAGCAGGCAACAGCTTTACCTTAGTTGGGTCTTCAGTGCTTCCTAACAGTTTAATTCTCTGTCTTAGCCATTGTGGATAGTGTTGTACTAACTATATGAGTGCAGAAAACAGTTATAGTAGTTTACTTTTTTTGGCTATGTATTTAGTACCTTTATCTACAACTTCTGATCTAATTACCTGGCTTTAGTTTTATATATAACATTTGTCACCTTTTAAAATGTTAAATAATTTATTATGTTACCACTTTTTCTACTTTACTGTAAGCTTTGCAGTAGGGTTTTTTTGTTTGGAGTTATATATCTCCCCCCCCCCCCCCGCCCCAGTGTTTATAATTTTGTGACAAATAGGAAACAAAGAGAGAGAAAGAAAGAAGAAAGAAAGAAGTTGCTTTGGGGTTTTGCTTTTGTTTTGTATATAGGCATGGCCTCAAACTTGCTTGATAAGTTCAAAATAACCTCCAGCTCAGGATCCTCCTTACTGAGCCTCCTAAATGCCAAGATCACAGGCATGTGCCACCACACCAGACAGTAATTCCTAATATATGTTCATTTTAAAAAAACTGCGAAAAGCAGAACTGATTATTTCTTGGCTGAGAAGCAATAGAAGATGATGAAGGAATCAGTGGTCCTTGCCACCGCTTTCTTTTTAGGCATTCCTCCACTAATCCCAAAGACCTAGTGAGCCCCACTTCTGAAAGTTTCCACTATTTCCTGATATTATGTGCACTTAAGAACCATACTAGAGTATAAGACTGCTCAAAACATGAAAGCATTTTTCTAAACCCGAATCATGTACCATAGTATAGACAAAATCCTGTATTATTGAACATCTAACATGCAGTGATGTAGTCACAAAGGTACAGTATCAATGCAGTATTTAAGGTAAATATAAAATCATAACTATTCCAAACTATGTTCTGGATATACCAAATGCCATTGAAACTATTCACCTTCAAATCTGAAATCTACACGAATTTTACTGCATTACATTTTAAAAATTATTATTGCAACTACAAGGAAAATTTAATTCTTGCCTGTAGTGATTTAGGTTTATAGTAGAAAATATAAAAAAATGGAATTCCAGAGATATTAAGTGTCTTACTTATGTTTAAGGGATAAATAACAGCTTACCAGTGGGAACAAAGGAAGAGCAATCCTTTGTATTGATAAGTGCACCAGAGACATCTGGAAAGCAGTAGAATGTTCAGAGCTTTGGAAAAGTTTGCAAAATGAAAATTAAGAGCCAGCAACAGCCAACTAATCAAGAGCTCTTCAGGCCATGATAGAGATTTCTGTCTTTACTTTTTTAAATGATCTATATCATGGAAAGTATTTATTGGGTTAATGATAATGTCAAATTTACCTCTTAAACAAAGAAGTCTATTGGCCATATGGAGCAATGAGTAAAAGAGTAGAAACAAATAGTTGAACTAGAAAGAAGAATATTTCATTGAGCCAAGTAAGGAGTGATGAAAGGATGATATGTTTGTTTAAGATAGAAGTTTATGACCTCAGAACAGGTAGTGTTGTTTTGCCATTATTAAGTCAGAAATAGTCAATTCTTTTTTAAAAGAAATATATGAAACCACTTGAGTACCTCTTATTTAAAAAATTTTTATATTCTGTTAATTTTATTAGAGGAAATGAATAACCATTTTATTTAAAATTGAAAAACCATTTTAATAAAAGGATTGTGATATAATATTTTACCTTTTATTCAAACAGAAGAATTATTGAATTGGAACTATTGAATAATTGACAGTTTCTTGAAGAGTTTATTGACTTTCCTGCTAAAATTATCTTAAAAGGCTGTTTTAAACTTAATCAGCTTCTCCTGGAAGTGTTTATTTCTGTGTTTAAAACATCAAAAGGACCCTGTAAAGATTTAAGTTGAATCCTTAACCAGGCATTGCGAAGGGTAGAATGTTTTAATATCACTCCAATATTAATTAAGTCTCTTCTCTCTCTCTCTGTGTGTGTGTGTGTGTGTGTGTGTATTAATGCCCCCCCCCCTTTATCACTGTATGATTCTTGTCAAATTGAGGGTTATACATGGAAAATGTTAACTACAGCAAATGTAGCAGAAAGGTAGGTCTGGGCAGAATGCTGAAAGAGAAGTTTGCCAAAAATGTTACCTTGAAAAATAACTCATTGATTTAGTGAGTTGCTTGTATGCAAATTTTGCCAAATAGACATTGTGTGTTATGAAATTTATTTTCTTTCACAGATTCAAGGAGAAACCCAAATGCTTTGATTTAAACCCAATTCTGAGAGGTCATGTGAGGCCTTTGATGGACTTTTGAATTCTATTTTCCCTTTAAGAGATAAAACCAAGTAAACTACAGGTTGAGGAGTAGAAGGAAAATGTTAGAGATTAAAAACATATCCTTCTCAGGCCTAACCAGCATTTTAGCAGCAGTGACCTATCAGGAGAAACCCACCTGCTTTTTGTTGTTGTTTTTGTTTTGTTTTGTTTTGTTTTGTTTTGTGTTAAAGCTAACCCTGCTTTCTGTGCTTTGGATTTTTAAAAAAATATTTGTTGATTAATTTATTTTATGTGTACATCTGTTTAGTATGCATGTGTGTCTTCACATCAGAAGAGGGCGTCGGATCCCATGGGACTACAGTTACAGATGGTTGTAAGTTGCCATGTATGTGCTGGGAATTGAACCTAGACCCTCTGGAGAAGCATCCAGGGCTCTTAAACACTGAACTGTCTCTCTTCTCCTCATTATTTGGGATTTTAAAGGCTAGATTCTAATTTTGTAGGCAGCAAGGCAGACATGTAATTTTAAAACATTTCAACGTAATTTGTTTGAAGATATATTTATTCTTAGATATACTTACATAAGTAGCAGTTGGACTTTGTGCAAAATAGCTGAAAATTAACTGCTGTTTATCCTGGGGTTAGGTACCCAGAGCCTATTTCATTCAGAATAATTTTCTAGTTATTTGACAGAAGTAATGTTTTCCTGTTTGTACATTTCTGTGTTAGGAATTATGAGAATAAAACACAGTCTCTTTTTCTGTAATTAACTTGGTGATGGAAATAAGACAAAAAGTGAGGCTGGAGACATAATTCAGTGGCTAAAGGCACTTGGTGCTTGTGAAAAGTATCCAGGTTCAGTTCCCAGCATATTGGATAGCCATCAGTAACTCCTGTTTCAGGGACTCTAACCCCTTCTCCTGCCCTGTGTGGGTACCTGTATGCACAAGGTATACATGTAGATGTTTGGCCTGCACGCATACACATAAAATAAAATAATTAAATATTTTTAAAAGTGCTGTATGATGAATAATATAGTTTAACTGAAAATTAAAAAGTATTCATTTACTAAAGAATCCTGATTTCACTAAATATATGATTGAGAGTATACTGACAGTAGGAAATTATGAAAGAAGGCTGTAATAAAAACGGGTTTTGATTTTTAAAAACAAGAACTCTGAATATTAATCTGTAGTATATATTGAAAGAAGAAGCAATAGCTGGGCATGGTGGCACATGGCTGTAATCCCAGCACTCCGGGAGGCAGAGGCAGGAGGATCTCTGTGAGTTCAAGGCCAGTGTGGTCTACAAAGCAAGTCCAGGACAGCCAAATTGGAGACTCTGTCTCAAAAAATAACATTTAGAAAGAAGCAATAAGAAGAAGAAAGGGTAGTCAGGAGCTTACTATTTCACATATCTAAAGCCGTGGGTAGTTTCCCAATGCGACTTGAATTGCATATGGCCTGTGGTGTTAAGTGTGGACATGATCTACTTTGGTGTTCTCTGTTTGTATCTCTTTTTTTTTTTTTTGGGGGGGGGGGGGAAGGGTTTATTTTTGTTCACAATTCCTGGCTATAGTCCATCACTGTAGGGAAGTCAGAGCACCAGGAGATTGAGGTAGTTGGTCTTGTCATATCCAAAGTCAAGAGCAGGGAGAAGTGTAGGAATCTATGCTTGCTTGCTTGCTGACTCAAGATATAGCCTGACCCTCATGGACCACAGCTATATCTGCTTCTTTGTGATGGTTCTGAGAAATGTTGTCTTATTTTCCCAATGGACCATAGGAGAATTCACACCAGTGGTGCTGATCTCTTTAGCAAACATAGCTGTAATTCAGCTCCAGATCAACCTGATCAACACACACAGATTTGCAGGCAAATTATAGATAGCATGGATAGCTGCTATTCATATCCCTGGCAGAATCTTTGTTCCTCTCTAAAACCCATGACCTGGGCTTTAACTGTCAATGTTTTTCTCAGCATTATCTTTGTTTATTATTAAAACTTGGGAATTTTGTACAGTGAGTTTTGACCATATCCTCTCAGCATGCTTGTCTTCCAGGTTCCAAAAAAAAAAGCTCTGCTTCCAGCAATCAAGTTCATGAAAACCACATGGTCAGATTTCACAAATTTGCATGTCATCTTTGCGCAGGGGCCATGCTAATCTTCTCTGTATCGTTGCTTGTATCTCTTAAGAAGCTCTAGCCACTTGGCCTATTCCTTTTCCAAAATACATTTTTAAAAAATGCTTGCATGCTAACTAACTTCTCCCCTGATATTATGCTTTTTCTTTTGCCTTAAAATGATCCTCATCCTACCCATAAAAGATTTATTCATTCCTTTGTGTGTTGTGGCTATTTTAAGATTCAGGGAGTGGCTAGTGAAGTAGAATCTGTTAATTTACATGAGATTAGTTGAAAAGTTATAAATTAGTATAATAACCAGAGTGATAAAAGATTGTTATGGGAGGAAGCCAAGACAATTACATTTTAATGGCCAATTAGGGCATTATTGCAGAGGGAAGAGTCCTGGAAGTGTCAGTGTCTCTGTCATGAACCTTAGGGTGAATAGAAGTTTACCTGACAGGTACAGACTAGAAAAGAAATGAACAATGGCATTTGAAGTTGAGAGAATAAATAAAACAGGGGCACTGAAATGTAAAAAGGGGCTGTAGTAGGGCAGCTCGGTGTTCTTGGACACAGAGTGACCGGATCGTGGGGCCTGTGTTGTGGAGCATGCAGTCTATGACCCTGTCATTGTGGAGAAGCTCACATCCAGTTCCTAAAGGCAGACAAACAGAATTGTGTTTTAGTTAAAGTAGAAAGGTTCTCCTCCTTCCCCTGCAAGCATGACACTTCTCCTTTGAAAAATCACTGCTAGAGCGAAGGCCCACTAAAGGCTGTTAAGCCCCAGAATGACATGATCATATTTGCATGTATGTAAAAGATAGACTTAAGGAGCAGATACTAATGAAGTAACTAGTACCTGGCACCGGTTATGGTACAATAACCGATAGAAGACTAATCCTTATTCTGTAAACAACAAAAGCAGCCCTTTCTCCAGTTTACAGATTTATTCAGTCATTGGCTAGTAGGCAGTCTAGCACTGCAGTGGTCACTTTGCTGCAGCTCTCTGCTATGTACCATTTCCCATTTGTGGCAAAACAATTCAGATTTCAGGTTGAGGAGGCAGAGAACATCTGGAGAAGGGGAAATCTACTGAACAGGATATCCAGGAAACTTTGGCCAAGTGTTCTGCCATGTTTTATCGGGGAAGGTTTTTCAGAGAATTAACTAAGGATTGAGAACAAAGGTATACTCACTGTAAGGCTGAGCAGAGAGGCCTGAACTTGCCAGTGAAGAAATTTCTTTAAAATCTCGACATTTCTGGGATCTATGGAAGACCATACATGAAAAAGCACAGAAATCGAGCAACTTAGTAAAGCTAAGTGGTTTGTGTTTCTCGGTTTATTTAGTACTTAGGGCCAGGGCTTCAGAAGGGAATAGAGACACCGAGAATAGACTTAGCAGTCCCCAACTTTGTCTGTCTGGAATGTCTTATTACTGGTAATGTTTCAAAGCTTTCCTGGGTGATTATAATTTGCAGTGAAGGTTGAGAGCCTCTATTATAAATGACACTTTGAGATACTTATCCATAGTAGGAAGGAGAGAAAACTACACCTTAAGGCAGTGACTGTCAGCCTTGAATGAGCATCTGAATCTTGTTAAAACAGTGTTGAGCTCTATCACCACATTTCTGGTTTAGCAGGTGTGGGCGGAGTCTGAGAATGTGAATTATAAAAATCTGTTGAGCTCAGAATAAATTAAAATTAATTTTCATGATTCTAAGCAAGGTGAAAAATTTTATAGGGCACATGTGTATACATGTGAATATAAATATTACATACACCACCGTGTTCTGCAGATGGATACTTTGAAATTAACAAAAAAAAAAAAAAAAAAACAAAGAAACCAGAATTTACGTTTTATTTTGTTGTGAACACACCTTAGAAACTACTAAAGCCACTTATTTCTCACAGTTTTCTGTTTGCCTCCTCTGCAGAGGTCGAGAATGAAGGTGCTTGGTTCTTTTCCTTTTTTATTGAATCCAGAGTGATTGTTAAAAAGTATTCTCATGTCATAGAAAACCTGGAGATTTGTAAGTTCTTAAAACAAGAGTATGAAGTGGTAGAGTAAATTTAGTACAATCAGAACAGAACAACTTGATATCTCAAACTGTCCTCATCTTTACAGAATGCTAAGATTTTTTTGTACTCCAATTTATTCTTTTGAAAGGATTGAAATCACCAATAAATTAGTGTCTTTAAAATACTGTATCTAAGGAGCAATCTTGAAATTTATAAATTAACGTAGTCCTAAGAAAGTTATGGAGACAAGAAAATGCTTCAGTGGTTAGGAATATTTGCTCCTTTTACAGAGGACCAGAGGTCAGTCGCCAGCACTCACCTGAGTGCTTACCTTACAGCTGCTTTGAACTCCAGCTGCAGGAGATGTGTCCGAGCCCTCTCCTGTTGTCTGTGGGCATGCAAATTACACAGGAGTGCATGCACACACACACACACACACACGGAATAAGTAAATGCATAAACACATTTTAAAGGTGTAAATTTAAAATAAAAACTCATTATATTCTTTTCTTTGAATCAAGAGTAAAGCACCTAACTTTTCAGAGTAAATCCTTTGCATAAAATGTAACTTTAAGCACTAGAAGTGCAGCATTTACATTAAGACATGGAGAAAATAATTGACAATAAATTTTAGGCCCAAATAACATCTGATGTATTTTCTTTCTTATTTATTATAGTGGAAACCAAGCATGTTAGTAGAAAAGTCTTTATCATGTATATGGTCTTTATAAATTTTCACAGGGCAAAATTATCTTCTCATGAAACACTTTAGGCAATTACTGTTTCAGCAGAGCTTAGATATTTATTCAGATAATAGTTGAAATACATTACAGTTATATTTATTTGCAAAGTGACCTAGATTTTTCTTTTCTAAATTTACTGCCTTTTGTTTCTACTTTTGAGGCAAGTAAAACTTACTTTTACCTTTTAAAATGAAAGTCGCTTGACCTTTCAGTGCCATGCTTTAATTATTTAAGTAGAGACAATATAGTTTACTTCTGAAAGGGCTGAATGACTTGGGTTACTGTTCATGGAGTTTTGTATTATTTAGTATTTTAGAGTTTTATTTTTATTGATTATATGTGTCTGCTTTTATAATTTATCTTTCATAATTTTGCCCTTTGGTTTCTTAATGTACAAAGAGTAGGCATAGTTAATTAATGAAGAGAAGAGTAATAGTCCTTTTTAGTAATGTGTAAACTTTCAGTACTAAGAAAGTGCTCACATACCTATTCTTTTCAATGTTTCATAACGGACAGAAAACCATAATAATGTCCTTGACCCCAGTTGCAGGGGTTGGATTACTGAGCATTACAGAAGTCATGTGCAAGTCTACCTGCTTCTGCTTTGCTGGCTCATTTGGTGTAGTGCAGGCTGAGTGTAGTCCTTGGAAATAGAAATCATTCTTCAGGTTTGACAGGATAGTTTTACTGCCTCTTCATAATGCAGGATTATCAGTTTTTCCCCTAATGATTAGTTTTATCTACTGTTAAAGACATTTTCCTTTATCCAGGATCACCATAATCCGTTCTGCAAGCCTTATTCTGTTACTTTTCTCTTTTAAGATATACAGCACTTTTTGGAACAGGTTTTGTATGTGGTATAAGGAATAAATCAATTACCACACCCTTACTCCTCTTAAAGATTATCTGATTGACTTAGCACCAATACCCCCCTTACCACCAATTCCCGCCCCACCCCCCACCCCATTGCCCACTGCCACCTCTTTTGGGCTCCCTTTGTAGCAATATATATTCTATATATGTTCTTAGTAAGAATTAAATGTTAGTCACTGTTAACTGAGATTTCTTTAAAACAATTTAAGAAGCATAAGAAATTTATAGCTGACATACTTTACCAAACTAATAAAATTTGTGATAAAATTTCAAAAATATCATTTGTTAAAAATTTTTGCCCATTACTTCAAATAACAGGGCCCCTGAAAGACTCTACCGAGCCAGGGTATAAAAGCAGATGCTGAGACTCAGCCAAACTTTGGGCAGAGTGCAGGGAATCTTATGAAAGAAGGAGGAGATGAAAGAACTGGAAAGGACAGGAGCTCCACAAGAAAAGCAACAGAACCAACAAAAATCTGGGTCCAGGGGTCTTTTCTGAGATTGATACTCCAACTAAGGACCATCCATGGAGATAACCTAGAACCCTGCACAGATGTAGCCCATGACAGCTCAGTGTCCAAGTGGGTACCCTAGTAAGGGTACATAACACTGAACTCAGTGGCTGGCTCTGTGATCACCTCCCGCTGAGGGGGAACAGCCTTACCAGGTGACAGAGGAAAACAATGCAGCCAGTCATGATGAGACCTGATAGGCTAGGATCAAATGGAAGGAGAGGAGGACCTCCCCTATCAGTGGACTGGGCAAAGGGCATGGGAGGAGATGAGGGAGGGAAGGTGGGATTGGGAGGAGATGAGGGAGGGGTCTACAGCTGGGATATAAAGTGAATAAATTGTAAGTAATAAAAATTTATTGTAATAGTCTACAGGTTTATTTTTTTTATAGTTTTGCTTATCCATGATCAAACATAACTAAGAAATATTATCTGAAAAAAACAGAAATGAATAATTCTAATTTTTAAATTGTTGTGTTTTGCACAGCTCTTTAAATGATATTATTCTGATGGTGCTTGTCTTTTAAGTATCCTTTATTTTACTTCAGAATAACCAAAGATGCTGTCAGTCTTCTATTCCAAACAGAAACTGTGAAGTGCTTCTATTTTATAATGAAAAGATTAAAATATTATGAAGTGTCCTGAAAAATGGCATGCTAATGGAGAAAAAAAAGAAAAGACATTTCAGTAACTTTATATGTTGTTCTCTTTATTAGTTATTGTTGTTAGTCTCTTACTATATGTAAGTTACAGAATAAAATTTAGCATAGATATGTACAGGGAAAATATAATCAATGCAGGGCTCTGTACTGGCTGCTTTCAGACAGCAGTTGGTTCACTGGGACTATGAACTGCATCCTCATAGATGTGAGGAGATGATCAGGTCTCACTCTTGAAGACACTTCATGCCAACAATTATTCTATAATAACCTATTGAATGGGATTTAAAACATACCCACACACATTCATTGTTCTTGTTCACTTATGCAAATAATCATTCAGTATGCTTCTGAAACCATAGCAGAAAAATATTTTTTGTTCTTATAGAAACAATGATCCGTTTGGGATAAAATACGCCGTTTTATCTTTGTACCTGTGCAAATATCTAGATACATTTGCATTGGAAATACATTTTATGAACTAAAGTATTTTATTCTAATACTGAATAAAAGTTGGTGATTTTACTTAAAATCTTTAAAAAAAAACCAACTCCCTTTTCAGAGAATTTAGAAGCTTAATTTTATTTCAAAAATTGCCTTTTTGAATATTGGACAAAATTAAAGCTTGTACGCCAGTTTCTGATACAGAAGAAGCTTTTATTTGTGTGGGTGTTTTATTTTGTTCTCTGAGCTTCCAGAGCAGGTTCACACCTAGAGAGGACGTGTCCAGACTCCAGGTAAGCTAATTTACATACTTGCCTTTCCTGATTTTTCAGTTTTCTTTCTACAAAGCAGTTTCCAGCATAGGGCTTGGTAATCCCATAACATCATTTCTATTTCATTTTTACATTCCTCCTACTTTCAAATCTCATTCTACACTACTGTCTTCATTAATTAAAAGCATTATTCAGTCAGAAGGTACTTAGACAAGTTCATTATTTTGTTTTCTCTTTTTCTCTTGACAAAATAGATACCTGTGGAAGGACAGGAGCAGCAGACAGATTCCACCAAAGGGCGATGCCTGAGAAGAACTGTCAGTGTCCCTTCAGAGGGTCAGTTTCCGGAGTACCCACCAGAGGGCACCGCTAAACTAGGTAAGCTAAAGAAAGGCATGAAATCCCTCCATTTTATTGGATGACTTAGATTTGTCACTGTGAGAGTAAAACAAAGCATTGTATGTTTCTTGTTAAACCATTATGTTCAAATCGATAACCTGTTTATACAGATTCAAAGTTGATCAGAGCTATAACCAAGCAACAGCAGTTATTTTATGTTAATAAAATATAGCCTGTGCTACGCTGTAAAATTTCTGTTTGGTATAGGCAAGTTGGATGGTATATTTCTGTCCTATTGCTCAGCTCTGTGTTTTCAGAGCATTGGTAGTATTGTTTTAGTCACTGTGTGAGTGGCTTAAATACTCCCTTTCATAGCTGCTAATGTTATTGTGGAAGTCAGAGTAGCTAATTTAACTTTGCATATTGTACATAAATTATATTAAGACCTGTGGTTCAAGTCGATGACAGAGGGAGGAATGTGAACCCTTCCATTTCAGGTTGGGGATGGCTCAGTAATAGAATACCTGTCTAGCATTTCCACTGTTCCCAAACCTAAAACACCCCAAACAAAATCACAGTTCAGTTGTTATATTTCAAAAGAATTCTTCAGTGTCAAAGTAGCTAGCCCTTCCCCCATTTTATATACTGTATCTCATTTGGTGTTTTGTTACTGTTTTGCAATATTTAATTAATTAACCTGGCATGATTATTTAAAGGCATACACAATTTAAAATAATAAATTTGAAAAATAGGACCTGCTCTGACATTCTTTAAAAATTATTTATTTATTTATTTAAAGTGTGTGAGTGCTTTATCTGGATAGTATACCTGCACACCAGAAGAGGGCTTTAGATCACATTATAGATACCTATGAGCTACCATGTGGTTGCTATGACTTGAACTAAGAACCTATGCAAGAGCAGGTGGTGCACTTAACCGCTGAGCCATCTCTCCAGCTCCCCTGCTTTGGCATTTTATATTACATTATTGTGTTTTTAATGAACCATAAACATCTTACTTATGGATACCTGGTAGGTAAATAAAATCAGTTGTTTCTGTGGTGGTGGTCAGTATATAATTCTGTAGTGTAAGTTGTGTTTTCTAAAATAAGGTTTGTGTTTTGTTGTCTAAATGTAGGTCAGAATATAGGTCTTTTTTACAACCATTTCTCTTGCTGTCTTATAAAATTTTCTGCCTTTTAAAAATATTAGGCTAGCAAATATTCTCCCTAAAGTTTACTTGGAGAATCATATTCTAGTCATCATGTTTAGTTTGAGCCACTTTAGCATGTGTTGAAGCCAGTTCAGGCCCACATACTATTGAAAACTTATTGGACTGTAAATATTTTATAGCCCATTTTATTTCACATTCACTGATACTCCATATATACAAACTAGCCAATAGCTACCATCTTTCATTCCCCCCCCCTTTTAATTGTTTCTGCCATATTGAAAAGCATTTAGGTTTTAAGGAAGTATAATCATAGCCTGAAGAATTATTACAGACTTCTAGAAGAGATACCTAATGACTTTGTAATAAACTGTTAAATATTGTGTTCCATGATTGTTCCTAATGACAAAGTAAGATGACAGGTAGCACAGGTGTCTGCTGTTGAGCCATTTTCTGGCTTTTATTCTGGACAGGTCTGGCAGTTGTTCTGACTGATAAGACTTAGTGCTAATTTTCAAAGTGGTTTTCCTAAAATTAGCACTGAAATTTCCCTTATTAATATGAGAAGGATGAAGCTTATATCTGGAGATAGTCATCTCTTTTATGTCAGTTGAATCTTAGATAGTTAACCTGTGTTATTTTTATTTCCTGGTGAGTTTTCTTTAGACAAGGTTACGTTCTGTTGAATGTTGTATTGAATACTTATGTTTGTAACATTCAGTGCTAGTCTGAAGAATAAAAAAGAATATAGTTGCACTTTGGAATTTGTTTTTTTTTTTTTTTTACTTAACAAGATAGAGCAAATACATGCAGAAACAAAAAATATATAAATATTTAAAAAATAATTATTTCTGCTGGTATTTCTATATGCCAGCAAGTAGGAATTGAAAAAAATTAATATACTTAGTAGAACATCACAAGACAGTTAACTGTCTAGGAAAAAGAAATTTAATATGGTGTGTACCAGGCTGGAGGGGGGGGATTGTACATTAGAAAGTAATATTATTTCATTTCTCAGGATCAGAATTACAAAGTGATATGCCTGTATGCTTTTTCTAAGTTATCATATGGATTCTTAATTTCACCTAGAAATGACATAGGCCAAGAATAGCCAGGATATCAGAGAGTGGTGGCACATACTTTTAATCTCAGCACTCTGGAGGCAGAGGCAGATGAATCTCTTAAGTTTAAGGTCAGGCTGGTCTACATAGCAAGTTCCAGGGTAGAAGAAAACAAAACAAGAATACTTAGCCTCTTGATATCAACATTTGTTTAAATAGCTCCAACTGAATAGAATTCAGAATTCTGAAATCATTGTACTTTAATGTGCTAACAAAACATTGAGGGAGTCAGTCTTCAGCCATTGATGTTGGGTCAGTCAGATAATATTTGTGAAGAGCATGGATGTGGGTCTTTACATCTTCCCTAAATCATACACAAAACCATTTCCAAATGTGTTGTAGGCTTAAAAGAGAGAAATAACACTGTAGGCTTGCAGAATGGTATTGTGCTAATGATCTTGGACAGAGGACAATGTCTTCAACAGAAGATAAATAATAACTTATCATTAGGGAAATAACTGGTTGATTCAATTGATAAAGAATAGAAACTATCAAAATACCATTAAGTGAAAAGGCAAATTGTGGAGCAGGACAGTGTATTCTTAAAACCTGTGACGGGAAAGGGTTGACCTAATACATGAACAGGTTTCCTAGCAGAAAACGAGCTAGAGGCTTAGCACAGTATTTACTGAAGAATACGCCCATGGCTTGTTGTCGCTTGTTTTCTCATCCATTTAGATGAAGCTCCAAGTAGCAAAAACATGTGCTTAGTTTTAGGGAAGAGGCAGGAACTAGCAAGAGGGAACCATGTGACAAGCTTCTGGAGTGTTTTCAGGGTCTTTTTTGTTGACTCAGGCAATGGCCACACAGCTCATGTCCACTTTGGGATGAATCATTAAGCTGGACATTATTCATTTGAGCCCTTTTCTGCATGAGTGTTAACAAATAAGGGAAAAAGGGGAACCAAAGATCATATTGTCAAATAAATGGACTAAATAATTGGTCAGAGAGTATGGTTAAGAAGTACTATCAACTTTGTTATGTGCTACTGAGGGGAAGCTAAGGTAAGGACTAAAGACAAGATCATCGTGGAATTTAGGGTTCTTAAGTGAATTTAGTCTAAAAAAGCAGTTTTAGTAGTAGCATAAGCCATCCTGAAATGGCTTGAGAAGATAGTATATTCAGAGAGGAAGTTGAACAGCAAGGGGGGACAACTCACTTTAGATATTACCTGCCAAAGGGATGGCAGGTTGATAGAAAGATAATCCATAAATATTGAGTGACTGAATGAGAAGGGGAAATTAATGAGGAACAAAGGTGAGGAAAGATAAAGGAGAGTGTATGCTTGTTCATCAATCATGGTGACAGCATTAGTGTAGTGATATTAATGATAATGCCATTTTGTCTTTCTTAAAATTTTAAGCAGTTCATGGACTGGTCCCCTGAACTTATGGTTCTCAATTTGATGAGCCACCATGAAGTGCTCTTATTAAGATTTATAATAGGAACAGGGACTGTCTCTGACATGAACTTAGTGGCCGGCTCTTTGATCACCTCCTCTGAGTGGGGAGCAGCCTTCCCCAGCCACAGAGGAAGACAGTGAAGCCAGTCCTGATGAGACCTGATAGACTAGGGTCAGATAGAAGGGGGAGGAGATCCTCCCTATTATTGGACTGGGGAAGGGGCATAGAGAAGAAGAGGGAGGGAGGTAGGATTAGGAGGGGATGAGGAGGGGGATACAGCTGGGATACAAAGTAAGTAACTGTAATTAATAAAAATAAAATTAAAATTAAAAAAAGAAGAAAAGGTTTGCATTATTTTTGAAAAGATGCTATTTCAAGTTGTTTCCTTTGTGTGTTTTGTTACAGTTTAGTAGTAACTAAAATTCCATTAATCTCCAGGGTTAGAAGAGAAGGTCTATTGGATGAAAGTTTCAAAAATCTTTTTTCCCCAGTATTCCTGAAAGGTAAATTTCCGCTCTGTTTGTTCAATGAGGGCATTCTACTGAGAGTCCCCCAAAGGTAATTAACAGCAGAAATAAAGTGGAAGAGGAAAAGTTTGTACTTAAAAATTCTGTTGCCTGTTTGGAATACTATTTTTTTAGGTTGTTTGTTTGTTTTTAGATGATGATTTCAGTAACTACTAGATAAATATTAGAAGCCATTGTAGTCTCTAGGGGTTAGCATTGAAAAAATACATAAAAACTCTCATTTTGTGAACTTGCTCTGTACTAAGGAGTCATAGACAATGAACCCAAGTAAAAAGTAGTTTTCTATTGCCTGATACTGACAAGAACAAAGCAGAAAACAAAGCTGGGAGCAGGACTAGAGAAGCCAAAGTGTCTGCAGTGACCACTGTAGCATAGCTCACTAAAAAAGGCCTGAGTGGCGATTGTAATAACCTGTCATTAGTGTGGATGCCACACTTACAGAAACTAGGAGTGGGGGAACCAGTTTAGAGAGCAGCTTAGTAAAGAGCAAATGAGCCCGTGAGACTAGAGGGGAATAAACAAGGAGGGAGTAGGGATGATACCGTGCTCTCACACAGCCAGATCAGAGATTTGTAAGCCCGCGTGGAGGCGTTGATTCTTACTCTTTATAATGTCTTAAGAACTTCTGCTCGGATGTGGCCCGTGGTAGCTCAGTAACCAAGTAGTTTTCCAAAGTAAGGGGAACACGGACTATTTCTAACAGGATCTCAAGGGCAGGCTGTTTGACACCCCCCCCCCCCAGGGGAGGAGCAGTCTATTAGGCCACAGAGGAGGACTTTGCAGCCAGCCCTGAAGATACCTGATAAAACAGGGTCAAA